CCAACCATTTCCAGCGATTTTTATTTTTTTCATTTTTGGCAAAATATACAAAGGCTATAGCCTTTGTGTTTTTAGCGAAAATTGATGGGTCCGGATTTCGACGGAAAAGTGGTCGAATCGACAGAGATGACCCAGATGACCACAAAACTACCTTTGGTTCCCTCAGAAACCATCACTGCCCAGAGAAACTTGAGTTTTAAGGGTGGTCTTTTGAATCTGGCGGGCAGCGTACGATGGGCTGCCTATCTCGCAGGCGAACCGGTCCATGAAAAACAGGCGTAACTCACTTGAAATGGACCGGCGGCATGAAATTTCAACAGAGAGATTGAAAAAGGGTGCTGTCGGGCCAATACCAACCATTTTCGGCAATTTTTTTTTTTTTTTTTTTTTGGCCAAATTTATAAATGCTAGACTTCCTGTTTTTAGCGAAAATTGATAGGTCCGGATTTTGACGAAAAGTAGTCAAATAGAGGGGGGCTAACCTGGTGACCACCAAACTATTTTTGGTTCCATCAGAACCACTCCTGTTCGAATCTGGACAGCGTAAAATGGGCTCTTGAAGTAATGCGTATGGAAGTAGATACAGGCCCATATCCGGTCCCGAGCTCCGTCGGAGGCTTCCGCCCGACAAGTTTTCCTGTCTTGACCACCTTACATGCTTAATATAACGGCTGTTCACTTAAACTCTACTTTTTCAGATTATTTGATCATTGCCGGTTGTAATAGAACTATTCCGGGGGTTGGACGTGTCTGCGTGGATTTGTTATATTAGAAAGTATTTATGCTTGTTTTGCAGCAGACGACAGAACGATAGGGTCTTCTTCTTGTTTTCTTCTCACAGACTCCGACGAACCTCGGGCCCCGGCAGGGGACCACTTTTACTGGGAAATACCCATCAGATGCTAGGGTGTATGGAAAAACCGTCGATACCATTACAACCGGCTAACTTTTGAGATTCGAACAGAACACTCGGTTTCCCCAATAGTTAACTTGATCCCGTTACCGGCGTGCACGACTGGGAGGGTGTCGCGCCCCCCACTAGCCTGCAGCTTGTCCATACAGCATTAGTCCAAGATGGGCTGCCTACCTAGCAGGCGAACCCACCAACGAAAAAACAGGCGTAACTCACTCGAAATGGCCCGGCGGCGTGAAATTTCGACGGAGAGATTTAAGGGGGGTGCAGTCGGACCGGTCCCAACCATTTCCAACGGTTTTCAAATTTTACATTTTTGGCAAAATTTGGGGTTTTAGCGAATACTGATAGGTCCCGATTTCGACGGAGTAGGATCCGAATCAGGGGTGAACCAGGGGACTAAATAACTGCCTTTGGTTCTGTCAGAAACCACCTCTGTCCACAGAAACTTAAGTTTTAAGAGCTATGTCTACCTAAGGCGCGCTAGCTAAGAACTCTGCTGTAGTGGGTCCACACAATGATATTTAGACAGAGCAAGTGAAAAGGGAGTCTGCCCGATCAATCCAAACCAATTCCAGCAATTTTACAAATTGTCAAGATTTTTATAGACATTTTTAATGATGACAACAAATCAGCCTGGAATTTGATGGGGGAGTATTGAAATCGTCGGGGAATGACCAAGGCAACACAAAAACCATCAAAAAGTACCCCTTGATGCACACTAAAGCAGGAAGCTTCTCATTCTCATAGAATTTGTACAAGAGACAAATAGGACCAGTGTTGGTTACTGTCAAGTCAACTCACCTATACTTTCAGGTAAAATGACTCCATAGACTTATTTGCTCATGTCAAGAACATTTCCAGGTCGAGTTCCTGCAATCATATTAAACGGTACTTTTAGTGCTATTTTTATAATGCTTGCTTTAATTTATTAGTCAACAGTATTAATAACATATAATTTACTCATACAACACACTTTTAACTGCCTCTTTCCCCATACACTGAATGACCATCGTCTTTTGAATAACTAATTTGGCATATATCCTTCTGAACATACTGCAGGTTGTTAGGGGGATTACGCAAATACAACCACTCAGTTTGCAACCCCACCAGAAAGTAAAACATTTTTCTGTTCCATGAGAATAATACAATTGACAGTTCACCTTGCAAATGACCTACAGTATTCAACATACTGCATGGAATGGAGGAGTGTACCCATTCAACACCGTTTCAACAAAGCTTGCAGTGAGCATAGTTTACAGAACGGGCATCATTTACTCTGTCTCGAAAAATAACTTACCATACTTGTGTGTGTAAAAATGGAGCACTGGAGCACACTAACCTCCTAGAACAACCGGAACAGAACCTTTAAATGTTCCGGAAACCACGAAGCACTACCCCTTGCGATTAATAAAGCGGCGCTGTCTGCCCAAAAATTCTGATTAAAATCCCATGATCAATTTGTGTCGGTATTATTCGGTATTGAGCAGGAGGAGACGCCGCAATGTTTATTTACGTTTCCACCCAGCAATGAAGTCTAGAGAAGTGTAGAGGTGGGGAGGACTGACAACTCCGCTGTATGTACAGGACGGCGACAGAAGCGACCCTCGCACACGAACGCAGCGTTGCCTACCTCCCAGGGGCGCGAATGGAAAGGATGGACCACTCTGGCGCTGTACAGCCTGTGCCGAACTGTTTCAATGGCAAGTTGTGACCGAATATTGTTGTTATAGGAAACTGAATCATAAAGGACTTGTAAACGAAGCCTATAGAACACCTCGATAGTTCTAGAATGAAGGCGCGGCGGGTTGTGAGGTAGGGGTGAGGGAGGGGTGTGCTTATCAGATTATACGTGGGTCGCTTTGCTGAGAGATCGGCCGGGACTTACTCACTGACTCTAGCAGCCGGATTTGTCGCCACAAACAACAAGGGCGTGCGTTTCCCTGCGATGGTGCCTGCAGCCTGCAAAGCGTAACCAGCCAAGCACCTGTGTGGAGCCATCGGCCCGCCCTGAAGTGCATCAGGGGCTCGGTCAGGGAACAGGAGCGTTTGACACTCGCCAAGAGAAATAAATTATAAACAGGGATTTGGCTAAAGCATTTTTATTTTGAGAAAATATTTCCATGGACTGACACATAGAACTCTAGACATGAAAAAGCGATTCAGGAACTAAAGAAGTACAATACAATTTTTTTCTCTTAAACTGTTTCAAATTTGAGTTAAGCTTTGAGAAAAATTTGAAGTTTTCCAGAAGTGCTGACTTAACAAAATTCTGTACTGGAATATCTTCAAATCAAAAGGTAAAAGTTAACAGTTACGAGTTTGCTTCGATGCCAACATGGAGATTTACAGAATTTAAATAACAGCAGATGAATGCTTCTCAATACTTCCCCTATCTGCATCATATGTACAAAATGCACCACCAACAATAATGATCTCTACTTTGCTTTTAAGTACCATTATCTTTGGGGAGCATTGTCCTTTGCCTAATATCACTGCACGGCCCTTAATTGAACAATTATAAATTATAATAAATTCACTTCTCTTTGAAACATTAAAAGAGTCCTTGATAACAATTAACACTTTCTTCCTTGTCTGTGTCTCTTTTGCTTCATACTTCTTTTATTTTTTAAAATCTTGTGTAAGTGACCAGAAAAAAAGGAATTCTAAAATAATTTCTTTTCAAGTGGCCAAAGAGAAAACATGATTAAGACGCCAAAAATGAAAAATGAAAATGAAAATGTCATTTATAAATATTCCACCGAAAGACCCCATCATACTTGCATACAATATATACAGTTAAGTTAGAAAGAGAAAACAGAAACATAATTTAAAAATTTACAATAATTACAGATAAGCTATTTTCAATACTCACAGAAAATATCTTACATTTTGATGTAAAGCAAGAGAGATAATTGGAAACCTGACGGTCCTTGAACAATTAACAAATCAAACCTTTGGTTGTTCTCTTTCATCTTACTCTTGCTATACTGAGCACAAATCGACTAACCCAGTTTTGCTTTTAGAGCACTTTTCTGCAGTATACGCAGATGTCACAAAGTTAAAAAACATATGTTTTCCCCAACTCCATTAACAAGAAATATTTAAGCTATTAACCTAGTTCTTGCCAAGTACGTAATGTTGAATGATGTTACTTTTAAAATGTCTAACTTACTGAGTTGCCATCATTGGCATGACATCATAATTCCCTGTTAAGTATAATACACAAACTATCTCTAAGGATAATTAAGATAGGGACGGACTGTGAACTAGAAAGTTAGTGTCATAGCCAAAAAGCACTCTAGGAATAATTCATAAATGGAATGGAAGATGAAGTACCATATCCCTTGTAGACTTACTGAAGTATGGGGAAAACGTTAACAATTTTCAACTTCAGTCATCAATTAACAATTTTTTTCCCGCACAATAGTATCAAACAAGACCTCAGGTAGTTAAAGCATCGTGCAACTCACATGATGACAAACAGAAAATTCGAATAACCAGACAGGAAACAAAGGGTTGTTCAAAGCCCTTAAAATTAATGGGAAACTAAACACTTACATCATATGAAGAAAAAGAATCATTGGCACCAAATGTTGAACAAAATACCACATGTAAACCATATGATGACTTCATCTCAGCTGTATGAAACAACAACAGTCTCACAGGACACTATTTGATAGCTACCTATGCATATGTACAAAATAAATGAACTATCATTGTTGTATATTGTATATACTACCAATAACAAAATTACAATAATCCGATTTTGTTTGGAAAAATGATAAATTTAAAACAAAAAACACAACACAGAGTACCTAGTTGATGCAGAGACTATACTGATGTTCAGCATATCATTTTAATATTTGGTCATCAAATAGATTATTTAAGTAAAACAACAAGCAGATGTAATACGTCAAAACTTTGCTGATCTCTACAAAACAGAAAATTACTTCGTAAGTGGTTCAGAATTGAACAAACTTTGCATGGCCGATGAAGACTTATAGAAATGAACATGAACATTCTTGGTAAAAAATCAAAGTTTGTGCCAACCAGTATACAACTTCTATCACATTTGTGAGAAATTTATTTTGGCACAAGCACTCACAAATATTAAATTAATTCCTCTAAAAATGTGTTTTTAAAAATTCTGATTGCTGGAATGTTTTCAGCATAAAGACTAGATTTTGTTAGGTACATTACCTATAGTGTGGTATAAATTATGTTAAGCGTGTGGTCCAGCGCCGACGCGACCCTTTCACTTGACAATTCAAAGAATATTACTACAGTTTCTTTGACTAATTTCTCCTCTTTCGTACAAATTTCCACTTTCACACACATTTACACTCAGACAATAGCTTAGACACAAAATAATTACATACAAAACAGGTCAATGCGCTACAGTAAGTGAAACTTCTGTGCCCTGGTTGATTTCCTTCTTAAATTAAAACATAAGATAAAATATCTGCATTGACATTCACACAAGTATAAATATATGACTATCACTCAGTAAAATGAATTGAGCTGAAGATACAGTAATAACATTTAAATAATAATTCCATGACTATGTCAAAGAAGATATCACACTCAAAGTCTCCTATATGTTCATTGGCAAATAGACAAATCACCTAGCAGCTCGGAAAAAGATTCAGTTTTTGACTAAAACTGCTCAACGTTGGATAGATAAAGCCTGGATAGTAAAAGAAGCTTTACATTGAACTTTTTTTTCTTCATGATGCAGCTTTCCTTGTTTTTACATATGGAGTTTAGACTAACCCACTAAGATATTATAATCCCGACCCGAAACCTGCCTCAGACTTCATACGTAATCATTGCTGCCTGGACTAGTTAATGGTTCTTGAGCCTGGAACACAAAGAAAATAAAAAAATTAGTCACAAACTAGCCAGCTAAAATTTATAACAACTATATGAGGTTACAACTAATGTAAAGAAATTAAGCAAATTTTAAGAGTTCCAATTATAAATCAGCACAAGTGACTCCACAACATTTGCAAAATACTAGAAAAGAACACTTTCAAAAACATAAAAACAGCAAAGTCACTAAAACTACAAAGAGCACAAATGCAAAATACTTTCAGCTAACAATTGGAAACGAAACAATCACTTCATTCATATTTATATGTACGTAAAATTCTAAATACAACCAATATAAATCGTCAATGATGATACTGAAAGCTACATGAAGTCTTTGCAGCATCACTTACCAAAGAATCATTCATGCCCTGTTCATCTCGACAGCCATGTAACAATCCATAACATGGATATAAAGAATTTATTTTGAAGGCCACCTGACATTCCCCAGTAAAGTAAGCAAAAGAAGACAAACAAAAGACGCAACGTTACAGATCTCTCTCATCCCCTAAATATAGTAGCTAATAAAACATCCATTTTTATAAAGTCGTAACTAAACCAAAGACAATGTTTAAGTGAGAAAAAAACCCTTTTTTTAGCTGTTTGTCTACAAAGCCACATATTAAAGATAATATTTAATATTGACATGGGACACAGTATTCAATTATGCCTAGTTCATAATGCCTAGAGTTTGTCTAAATAATAATTTCCCGACTCAAAATAAGAACAAAATTTATGTGGTAGATTTAATTTGATCAGCTCCAATCAGCCTCTTTCAGATTTTATATGATAACATCAGTGAAGAAGAAACACTGTATTGTTTTCATAGAAATAAAAGTATTTACAGTAAGTGGCTGAAAACTTCAGCTGTTGTAGAAATGTTATGTAAAGTACTTTAGCTAATCAATCCTATAAATAAACATGAACCTCTTCAAGTTGTCTAACTTGAATATATTCCATGACATATTTTTATCGTAAGATACAACCCGTTTCTGGGGGCACAGTCAACATCAAAGCCCTTACCTCTTCGGCTATTGTGGCTGGAAATACACGTGTCGGCTGGTACTGATTTTTCTCCAGAGCAAACTGATCCTCTGTGGTTTTGCGATACACTGGATTATCAAAGTTCATACTTGCAATATTTCGATGCATATAGTGACGGTAAATAATGAAAATAATCTGAAAGAAATGACAGACTTTAGTTTGTGGCTACAGCAGAACTTTTGAAGTATTGTACCTAATTCTTTAAATTTAGGTTTTCCTTACAAGGCCTGCTAGCAGTAGAATGATACTGATGACTGCAATGACTATCAATGTAACCATTAGGCTGTCCGTTTCTTCTGCAGGAGTTGCAGAAGTCTTGTCTCTTGATTCTGTTGCTGTGAATTACAAATAGACAAACTATAGAAAACAAGCAGAAACAAACCTTTCAATTAAATCAAAACAAGAAAAAATAGTGTACTCACTGGCTTCGACACACATGAGTCCATCTGAAAGAAGTGTGAGCCCATCAGGGCACGCACATGATATACGAGGTGATTTTGAATTCATCAAAGGTGATGGTAAGCAGAGATGAGAACAATGCCCATTCACAGCTGTACAGAAGTTTTCTCCATCTGGCTGTCTATAGGGGTGATATACATGCACAACCATTGGATTCTGCAGCTAAAACAATAGAAAGGTAATAAAGATTAGAAATCATATCTGTGAGGGATCCAAAAGTTCAGCATCTGCCAAGACAAAACTTACTGTGTGTACTGCAGTAATAGCTTCAATACCACTGCCATTAAATTTATTGGCTCTAAATACGGCATGCTTTTCCCAGTCTGTCCAGTACAAATAATCCTCAAATGTTGTGATTGAAAATGGATGGAGAAGGTACTCATCAGAGTATAATACAACTCTACGGTTTGTTCCATCAAAGTTGCAGGAGGAAATGGTATGCAATCTTGCATCAAGCCAATACAACTGCCGACCAACCAAGTCTAAAGTCAAGCCATTGGGCCATTTGATATCATGCGTAACAATATCCTCACGGTGGGATCCATCCATTCCAGCTCTCTCTATCTTTGGCACTGAGCCCCAGTCTGTCCAATACAACCACCTAAAAGAAAAGAATACAGTTTAGAAAAACATTCAGAGAACAAAAATTTACTGATTGGTGAACAATATGGTGAACCTACCCCTCCAAGGGATTAACAGCAATTGATCTGGGTTCCTCCATCTTTCCTTTAATCACAGTTTTTCTCATATTTCCCTCAAAGTTTGCTAGCTGAATAGTGTCTTTGGAACTATCAGTCCAATAAATGTGATTGTAGATCCAGTCTACAGCAAGTCCATCAGATGTTGTAATGTCATCTTTGATAACAACTGTTTTTTGGCTACCTTCATCAATTGGTGCTCTGTAATAATAGAGCATTGACATTAGCAATACTGACTCTAAATTAATACTAATACTTCCAAAATAAATTGAAACTAATAAATGCTTACTTGTAAATTTTCTTGTCACTAACATCACTCCAGAAGATCATTCCAGTACGGAATACAAAATCTAGAGCTGTAGCAGACTTGGTGTCATTGACTATTGCAGTAATGTCATGATGATCGAGAGAAACTTTTCTAATATCATGTCGTCTTGTGAAGAGCAATGAAGCATGTCCTTCGGCTGCCTTACATCTTGTGAGATCTCGAGGGTCCCTCAAGTATCCATGAACACATTCGCATTTGAATTTGCCTTTCTCATTGATGCAAATCTGTGAGCAAACTCCAGGCATCTCACATTCATTGACGTCTAAAACAAAAGCAAAACAAACCATTAACAAGAAAAAAAACAACAACAATGAAATGGAAAATTATTTGGGAAGCTTTAGGAGTTTGGCTCTATATAGCTAATAATACCTTCACATGTGTTGTTTGCATTTAGATGATACCCAGAGGGGCAATCACAATAAAATCCAGCTGGCATATCGACACAGATATGTGAGCAGCCCCCGTTCTTAGTTGCGCATTCGTTTATGTTACAGAGCTCCTTTGGTTCATCTTCCCAGGCAGGGCAGTCTGGTTTCTGATCACAGACCATGCTCTGGTTGATGCACATTCCACCACCACAGTCAAATTGAGTTTTAGGATCACAGCGCTTAGGTGGGGCACCTTTAAAATTGAAAATGAATGATCACTATTTGAGTAACAGAGGAATTAAATGTTTAATAGCGCTCGCAAGCGGAAATACTCACGGCAATTTTCCTCGTCACTACCATCAGAGCACTCTGCAGTGCCAGAGCACTGCAAGTGGCCGGGAATGCACTCATGATTTTTGCACTGGAAATGATCGGCACGGCAGGTGACATTTGCACAAATTTCATGAGACTCATCGTCACCATCTGGACAGTCCGTGTCGCCATCACAAAGCCATAGCCTCTGAACGCACGTCAGACGATCCTGACACATGTGTTCCCGATCGGAGCACAGACTGGGGATCTTCCCTTGCACAGATGGGCAGCCCTAGGTATAAAGAAGACAAGTTATTTGTAAAGGAAAAAACGACACTGCACGACACATATGCATCAGTGCACAATGCATCCATGTATGCAAATTTACTAGAAACACGAAAATCACATTTCCCGCCTCGACGCGAGCCAAGAGGAGCTATAGCCAGCCAGAGAATGCTCCTGGGTTTGCTGTAGCCGCAAGTAAGAGCCCATGCTACGCCAGAAGCATTATTTCGCTGGTTCATGTAACCCACCTTCTCGTCGGAGCCGTCCGGGCAGTCAACGTCACCGTCGCAGCGCCAGCGAGCCTGGATGCACGTCTTGGACGCGCAGGTGAACTGGTCGGCGTTGCAGACGTGCTCGGGGCAGTGCGCCTCGTCAGAGTTGTCGCCGCAGTCATCGTCGTGGTCGCAGACCCAGCGGCTCTGCACGCAGCGACTGTTGCCGCAGGTGAACTCGTCCGGGCGGCACGTCTCGTCTGGGGAAGCACGAGAAGGTCAGCACACTGCTCGGCGCACTGCAGCACCGTAGCTTACCGTCGATGACGGCGACTTTCACCGTGATCTACAGTGAACCCAGCAGCACTGTAGCTTACGGTGAATTTTCACCGGTGCATATCACTTTAAGTTAGGGAGATTCCGATTCAGCGTTGCTATTACAGTGACATTCACCGTAGCTAACGGTGAAAATTCACCGCAAGCGAAGGTTAGCTAAGGGCTCTCTCTTTAAGCGAGGGGTTTCGGTCGGTCGGTTGATCGATCGAGCGCCAGGGATACGCGAAACTCAGCGTAACAAAGCCAAATTATCGTCAAAATCGACTAAGAGTGTGTCCGAATTCCCAATCGTATCGCTACGAATCGGTCGGAATGACGAAGGGGAGGGGGTGGTCAGCAGGGAGGGCAACCTGCAGCCATCCCTCGCGAAAGGACGTCGCGATGCGCGCTCGTCCGCGGGGGTAGTCGCGAACCGCGACCGACCTACATCGACGACGTAAGTTAGTCGCGGTTCACGACTACCCGAGTGCGAATCGCAACAACCTC